AAATCATAATCCGTCATGGGAAAGACTGGTATTCGAACGGCTAACAAGGTCAGCTTTGACAAGCCGGCCTCTGAACAACCTGGACTACATGTGAGTTGATTTCATCGGTGCGCTTGAGATGCTGCTCACACTCATTCATGCAGAATAGATGGCACCCCGATAGTAAGTGATCATTATTCGAACCAAGTGTGCCCTACTCTGGCATATCACCAGACACGACTCATGAACGGTTCTGCATGCAGTGCCGTCCACGATCATTTTCATCTTCGTTTCTGTGCTCATCTCTCCACCCCTTTATCTCTGATGTAGTAGTAAGAGCAAGGTCACTCTCTCTGACGCTCTGCAGTTCCCTTCTCCGGAACAATCAAGGATGGCGAGACGGTCAAGATTGAATGCGTAGACTGGTAAATCATCCCATTCTCCCAACGGTGTTATCACAGCCCAACTTCATCTCAGGACCGGCGGTCAGATTGGTAACAACGACTCCGCAGACGACATGCTCAATGTGGACCTCACCAAGATACACTACCTCTCGGGTCCCTTCGAAGTCGAAGGCGCCCAGCCCGGCGATCTGCTCCTCGTCGAAATCATGGACGTCCAGCCCTTCGAGGACCAGCCGTGGGGCTTCACGGGCGTTTTTGACAAGAACAATGGCGGCGGATTCCTCGACGAGATCTACCCGACTGCGTATGTTGTTTTTCTCATGATTATCCTCGTCTTGCAAGATTGAAAGACTGACATGGATGAGGAAATAGCGCAAAGGCGATCTGGGACTTTGAGGGAATCTACTGCACATCGAGACACATCCCCGGCGTCAAGTTCGCGGGCCTGATCCATCCCGGCATCCTGGGCTGCGCGCCCTCCGCCGAGGTCCTCGACACCTGGAACACCCGCGAGGGCGAGCTCATCAGCGCCAACAAGCTGGAGCGGGACGTCGCGAAGCCCCCCGAGCCGATCAACGTCCACGCCGGCGCCGCGGACGCTGCGCTCAAGGAGAAGGTGGGGAAGGAGGGCGCGAGAACAATCCCCGGACGACCGGAGCACGGGGGCAATTGCGAGTGAGTTTGCAGTCTCGGCGAGTGTTTGCTGGATGGCAGGATGCTGACGGGGTCACAGCATCAAGAACCTGAGCAGGGGAAGCAAAGTCTACCTCCCGGTCCACGTTCCCGGTGCCAAGTTCAGCGTCGGCGATCTGCACTTCTCCCGTAGGTTTCCCCCTCGAAGTAGTGTACCGATAAAGAACGAGTACTGACACGCGAACCAGAGGGCGACGGAGAAATCTCATTCTGCGGCGCCATCGAGATGGCCGGAGTCATCACCATCAACTTCAAAGTAATCAAGAACGGCGTCGCGGACCTCGGCCTCAAGTCGCCCATTTACATCCCCGGCCCCGTCGAGCCTCAGTTCGGCCCCGGACGACAGATTTACTTTGAAGGTTTCTCCGTCGATGAGCACGGCAAGCAGCATTACATGGATGTGACGGTTGCATATCGGCAGACCTGTCTTCGTAAGTTCTCTTCCCCCTCACGCCATTTCCCCCTTGAGCGACACAAGAGTCAAGGGTCTGAGTCGACCTCACCGGAGGAGCTGTCCAACGGAAAAAAAGATGATATGAAGCGATGCTAACATTGCCAAGGCGTCATCGAGTACCTCCGCCGCTTCGGCTACAGCGATTACCAGGCCTACCTGCTCATGTCCTGCGCTCCAATTCAGGGCCATGTGGCCGGCATCGTCGATATCCCTAACGCGTGCACGACTATCGGTCTGCCGATGGACATTTTCGATTTCGACATCTCTCCGGCTGCCGGCAAGGTTGAGAAGCGCGCCTTGGGCAGCTGTGCTTTTGCTACCGGGGTGACGGAGGGCAAGATCACGAAGGGTGGAGAGAACAGTGAGCACAGCTACGGTGGCGGACTGACTTACAAGAAGTCTGTGGTGGAAGATGTGAAGGACAAGGTAATGGGCGGCGTGTGAGAGACGGGCTGTTGTCTAGCTGTTTCTGTTAGTGTCTTGCGGAGTTGAGATTTGGAGCGGAAGAAAAGCCGCGACTGAGTCCCGGAGGCTTTGTGCACAAGACTTCATCATGTTCATCTCTCGTTTGTCTAGGAATAAGGTAGTAATTTGTTCGCAGTCCTTCTGGCAACCACAACCTGAATACGCCCGTTTACCCTGTATCCTCAGCCCCTTCTTCATCGTCCAACAACTCCTAGCGCGCTTTCACGATCATTGCGATTATGAATCAATGCATATAACGCCACATCCTCCTCAAAAATCAGGGATCTCGCTCATCGAGGTGTGACCTGTCTCGCTCGTGTGGATGCGAGCCTCGGCCGTGCTAGTACCAAGCCACTCGCAACCAGGAGCGTTACACTTCCGCAAGGCACTATCTCCCATGGCAGCAACGGCACTTGCACCACCTGCACCGCTGTGAGACACATCCTTGATCTCGTCGAAACCCATGTGGCCTGTTTGCGAGGCATGTTTGTTGGCCTCCTTCTCACCATTACCGATCCAGTCGCAACCAGCAACGGTACAGCGGAGCAGAAACTCGACAGTGTCGGTGAAGTAGTGCATCTCATGCAGCTTGCGGATCAGTTCCCTGGTCTTGTCAAGAACGGCCTCGTCAGAAGTGCTCCAGTTGGTGCGATCCAGCTCGGGAGGGAGATCAGAATGGGTGTAGGGAGGCTCCGAAGGGCTGCAGGCAACTCGGTCATAGTGGATACCCGAGTACACGAGAATGCATCGCGACTCCTTGTTCTCGCCGAACTTTAGCGGGTTCTGGCTCTTGACGTCGAAGGCCAGAACCTCGAGGTCAAAGAGGTCAGAGAAAATTCCGAGCTCGATCGCGCCGCCCCAGCGGTCTGGGTCTTGCATGGTTCGACAGTACTTGTCCGGGGCCATGCCAAGGACAGCTTCAGAGTATTCATCAGGATGCTGGCGAATGTAGTCGGCGACCATCTTGCGAAGTTCCTTGGCCTCCATCTGCTTTCCCGGAATGGCGCCGCCGAAAGCTGTGAAGAGGCAACTATTGTCGTCGGGCATGACACGTAGTACTGCGCAGTGTAAGCTTTCTGCGCCAGGCGGGTAATTATGGCTACTTACGCAGGGTTGACTCGCGTTCAGGCCAAGGTATGCTGATGTCAGAGGGGGTTGGATCACCCGAAGAGTCCAGGCGAGGCTTCTTGGACGAGGGCGCGCTTCCTTCGGAGGGTCTCGTCACGGGCGGTGGGGGCGTAATGACTCTTGGCTGAGCCGGCTCAATGGTGAAGGACTGGCCATTGAGGCCGAGGTCCTTTGCGTTGGCATCTTTTTGCTCGAGAGTGAGTGTCTGGAGAGGATAGCCATACTTTAGGGCGAAATCGGCGATGCCAGTTGACTTCTTGATCTCGTCGAAGAGCTGACCCACGGTAGCGTCATCTCCGAGGGATACTACACCAGAACCCTCCGGGCCCCTGTACCTGGCTCTCATGGCGTCCGGGATTGGCGATTCGGGGATGTTGCGTTAGAGCAAAGGCCCAGGTATGGGGGAGGAAGTTTAAAGATGCCTCGTGCTCCGTCTTGGGGTGGGGTGAAAGAAGGTTCTCAAAGCGACCGGAGACGGATCCGGAGGGTAGCCGGAGGGCAGCCGAGCGGTCTTGGCTGGAACGGCGGGGTCGCGGAGGGATTAATCTTATCTCGAGCAGATACCGGGGTTCCAATGATGGCGGGGATGGATGGGGCCGGTCGTAGCCCAGGGTTGAGATGATGGGAGTCAATGTCTCAGCAACCTTGCTTCGAGTTGATGTATTGAAGCCAGGTTGATCGGACAGGCAGTGTCTTATTTTGGTGGCCCACGTTGCGGGACGAGTGAGCTGCAGTCGCAAGTGATGAAGGCTCTGTTGAGTGAGCAGTGTTGCGAGTGTCTTGAGACGAACTAGAAGCTTCTCCGCTTATTAAGTACTTCTGGAAGACGTCGTCGGGGTCAAAGATGAAGCTAGGACGATGGAGCGAAGACCAGGCCAGGTCTGAGCGTCGAGGGCGGCGACTGCTTTGGGATGCTTCTGTGTTCGAGGTCAGACATGTGTAACATGAAATGCGAGCCACAAGAAGACCAAGAGACATTGGGATCGGGGTCGCGTTGTCCTCATCCCACTCTGGTTGTCGCCGTGGTGTGGAGAAGTAATCCAATCAGATGTGTCTGGCCATCTCACTGGACACAGTCCGGAGATCCAGTGACAATGACTTCATTGTGTCCATCTCGCCGGCAGCCCACTTTTCGATTTCACCAGGAACTTGCGTGACGTTTGCGGATGCTTTCCACTGGACACGGGTCACTTGGGTCTCAAAGTTGATAGCGAAGCCGTTGGATCGAGAGCCTTTGTAGGACGGGAGTCTCACCTTATACCTACTTAGGCAGGCTGCGGGTAGGTTCGAGGATTGGTCTTTGGTGCAGCCTCTATTGGCTGCCAAGAACAAGGGAGGAAACACTTGTGGCGTCGACAAAAGCTAATGGAGAATTCGAACGACAACAGGTATATCGATATTGATATTGCAACTTTTCAAACAGCAACACTGAATAGAATGGCACCTTCCTCTCAGTACCTTCACTACCTAGTGGTCTAGACCGTTCAGCCGTTTCCGTTAGCCGAGGTGGAGCCGGCACACAGTCGACCCTGGGCAAGGAGGCTTCCCTGCTAACACCCACGACCGACTGGTGCTTTGTTGCACTGGGCCGTTACCATCCCGGCCATGTCTAAGGTACCTACCTGCCTAGCGACTAATAGCACCTGGCCGGCCACAGCACCAGCCCAGCTCCCGCTTCGCGAACCTTCAATTCTTCCCTCTCGACGGTCTTTTCTGGAAATTCTGACCTTTGCGACAGAGCCTCTCCTCCCCCTCTCCCACTCAGGCTCGCCCGTGCAGAGGGTTCAATTACTCCACTGACCCTTTGCGCCGCCAATTACACTCTCAGAGACGACCTCCAGTTCCCGTGCCTGCGCTTCGAGTCGGCGGTGCAGATGATGTCTTCGACGCGCAGCGACGCGCCCGAAGTGCGCGAGTCCATCGAGGCCAAGGTTACCAACGATGTTGAGATGACCGACGCACCCGCCGCCGCCGCCACCTCGGCCGACACCGCTCCCATGCCCGTCGATTCCAATGCTGTTCCCGCGAAACCGGACGCTTCCGACAAAATGGATGTCGACGCTGACGCCGATGCCGATGCAGATGCCGACGTAGATGCTGATGCCGACGGTGAAGCGGACGCTGATGCCGATGCACCTGGAGAAGTCGACGTCGACGTCGATGCAGACGCAGACGCTGATGCCGATGCAGATGGAGACGCTGATGCCGATGCCGACGCTGACGGAGACCCTGACGACGGTGCTGCTTCTCCAGCAGAATCTGAGCCTGGCGATCTCTTGGACATCATCCAAACCCTCAACACATATCTCAGCAACTATAAGGACGATGAGTATGTGTCGCACCGAATCGTGATAATTGCGCTTCTTGCTGACATATGGTTCGTAGTGGAGAGTGGTGGGCCGCCAGCTTCCAGCGTATCCCGAATAAACGCCAGCTCCCTGACTATTTCGAAATCATCGAGAACCCCATAGCCTTCAGCACCATTCGCGTAAGTCTTGCCTAACAACAAATTGTACAATCATTCAAGTTGAGAAGCTAACCTGTAACAGCACAAAATAAGTAAAAAGCAGTACAATGACTTCTCCGAGTTCGTCCGTGACGTTGCCCAGATCTGTCACAATGCTCAAGTGTACAACCGACCTTCGTCTGCCATCTTCAAGGGCGCTACTGTAATCAGGGATCTTCTTAAGCAAGAGCTGCAGAAGCTCGTGAACAAGGGTACCATACAGCCAGCGGAAGCCGAGCTGCCGGATCTGGGAGAGCTACCGCCTGCCGAAGAATCCTCCCCAGAGGCTGAGTCCGAAGAAGAGGAAGAAGAGGAGGAGGAAGAAGAGGAGGAAGACGAAGATGACGACGACGACTCTGACGATGATGGGAGAGGGCGTCGCAACAGGAAGCGGGGGAGAGCATCATTCGGCAGACGCCAGACTGGCGAGGCCAGAGAGGAGGACGAGCATAAGAAACGCGGCCGCCCTCCCAAGGTTCTCACGCCCCTCGAAGCTCGTATACACAACGTCATCAAGGGCCTTCGCAAAGTCAAGTCAGACGACGGTGACCTGCTCATCGGTCCCTTTGAGAAGCTGCCCGACAAGACCATGAATCCAGACTACTACCAGGTTATCAAGGACCCCATTGCGCTGGATAACATAAAACGCAAGGCCAAGAGGAAGAAGTACCCGACCGTTGACAGTGTCCTCAAGGACATTGATCTCATGTTCAACAACGCCAAACACTACAACGAGGAAGGAAGTGAAATTTTCGAGGCTGCCGTAGAGCTGCAGAAGCAGGCCCATGGACTGGTAGCGCAGGAGGAGGCCAGACCCGATGATGAGTTCCGAGACGAGGACGGCAAGCTGCCGTTGGCTGAGATTCAATACAACGGCCAATCGTGGAAAGTTGGTAAGTTGCGTCCAGTAACCCCCGGTAGCATGGTAAGTGGCCCTGATTAACAATTGTTCTAGGTGACTGGGTGCACATTCGCAACGTCAACGACATGGCCAAGCCCATTGTCGCCCAGATTTTCCGCACCTGGCAAGATCGTGCCGGCCAGCGGTGGATCAATGCTTGCTGGTACTACCGTCCCGAACAGACGGTCCACCGATACGAGAAGCACTTCTTCGAGAACGAAGTGGCCAAGACGGGCCAGTATCGTGACCACCAGATCGAAGAGGTTCTCGACCGATGCTTCGTCATGTTTGTGACGCGCTTCAACAAGGGGCGGCCTCGCGGTCTGCCACATGACAAGGAGGTGTATGTGTGTGAGTCTCGCTACAACGAACAGACGTGCCGCTTCAACAAGATCAAGACGTGGGCCAGCTGCGTGCCGGACGAGGTGCGGGAAAAGGATTACGAAATGGACTTGTTTGACCAGCCACGGCGGCTCAAGAAGGTGCCCAGCCCGATCAAGCACCTGCTGCAAGCCGACGCGAAAGAGACGGACGAGCTGCCGAAGCCGACATGGGGAGCTCCAAACGCACCGCCTATCATCGGCGCCGTGCACCGTCGACCCAGGGAATCGAACGTAAGTCGTGATGTGTTTGCTGTTTCTTTGCTATTTCTGTCCACTGTCCATCCACACTCTGCAGGCCTGGCCTGCCTGGGACTGCTTGGCCTTCGGCCATTCTCACTCCCAGCCGCGCCGCCTTACCTGACCCTAGTACCGCCCAAGTGAATCTTGTTGCATGAGCTGTAACCCGTGCCCCAACACCTCTTCTCTCTCTCTCTTTCTCTCTCTCACACAACTTCTGCGACGCCTTATCCAGTACAAGCCGATAAAAAGAGCGGCGCAGAGGCGATGGTTCAGCAGCGGCAGTACCCTGCATCCCGTCTCCAAGCCCCGGCGAAGTTCCTGCCCCCGTCACTCGTTTGCTCACACTCACCTTTCCACCTCTTTTTCTCTTCATTGCCCCCCCCCCTCGCCCTTCCTCTCCGCAGAGGTTGCATGTCTGCCTTGCTGTGGTGGCTTTTTTACCAAGACCAAGCCGGGTACTAACAAACATTCCTTGGGATGTAGGAGTCCCCTCCACCTGAACCAACACCATCGCCGCCTCCCATAAGTCAGGAGGCTGCTCGACGCCCATCGGTGCTCCAGGCAATGCGACAAACGCCTAGCGACATGTCGATGAACAATCCGCCAACGCCGTACGGACACGGAATGGGCGCGGCGCCGTCGCCGTCGCCGGCCATGTACGGGCAGCAATACACGCCTCAACACGCGTCGGCTTCGCCTGTCGCGGTGCCTCATCAGACACCAGTGCCGCTGCCCCAGATTCCTCCTCACCAGGCGTCTCACTCTCCGCAACAACCCATCCGTCCCATGTACCAGCAGCAGGGATACGTGCCAAGCCCCTTCCAGCATCAGCAACAGCACCCACAGCATCCACAGCACCATCCCCACCAGTTTCAGCAACAGCAGCAGCAGCAGCAACAGCACCTTCCACCACAGCAGCACCACCAGCCGCCGCCGCCGCACTACCCGCAGGCCCAAGCGCCCCCCGTGGCACAGCACGGACACGGACACCACCAGATGCATCCACAAATGATGACAGCAAACTCTTTGGGCCCAACGACGTTCAATCACCACCAGATGCAGCCTCACCCAGCTGCAGCCCGCACCCCCATGGCGTCTGCACCCAATGCCATGCCGCCAAACAACGCCTACAACCCCCCGCGCCCTCCCGAGGTTTTTGTCCTGCCCGACCACATCAACGACCAGATTCCCGAGGAGGTGCGCAGCCAGTACAACAGGGACGAGAACGGCAGAATCATTTTCTTCACCACACCGCCCGCCGCGCGCCCCGAACATGGCCTCGCGCCGGACCACGCAAACACGGGCCATAGCCTCGCCTACCTTGCCAAGAGCAACCCGGAATGGCTGTCGGAGCGTGCGAGCAAGGCAAAGGCCTTCTCCGTTGTCAAACAGAAGGAGCTGAAGACCAAGATGGTCATTGACGAGATCACCAAGGGCAAGACGCAGGAGGAGCTGCGTGACTGGGCGAGCGACGCATGGGCTCTGTATTGGAAGAGCCATGCCCAGGAAACGATGCGCATGCGCGAGGATGGCGACCTGGATGGACATGACCAGATGGTGAGGGAGCAGCGTGCAGTCAAGGTCAAGTCCAGAAGGGAGCGTGAGGAGGAGGCCGATAGGGCCGAAGAGGCCAAGAAGGCCAGCTATCTCGAGGGCATCTACTCGGCCCACACCAGCATGCGTTCCTCCAAGCCACGTGGTGTCTGAACGGACAGGTCACCAAGACGTCGCTCTAATGGATGCTACGTGTCCGCGCTGCAGGAGGCGGTGGACCAAGATGCGTAGAGCTTTAGCTTTCTCTGGGTAGACAGACGGGAGGAGTTTTTGGTGGGTGATTCAGCTTGTTGTGATACCTTTTGGTTTGGAGTTTTACGGAAACCATTACGGCTCGGTGTGTCGACATGGAACCGATGGGGTCCCTATGGTTATTGTACATCATAATGCTAAGAATTGAAGACGCAAAAGAACATTCCTTCCAGTCTGGACAGCGTCAAGGTTTTGTGCCATGAAAAGCTTGTCCAGTGCCCAAACAAATACCACACACACACACACACCTTTGATGATGATTATTGATGATGTTCGACTTCGTCCCCAGTACCCCTGTTCCTGTCTGCTGTTTCGATGCTCAAGTCGATGGGCAGACGGAAACATTCTAGACATGCAACATTGTCATTAGGTGGGTAGCTCGGTAGAGACAAAGATAAGATTTAGTGGCGACCAACTGGCCAGGAGATTGAGAGCTTGTAGCCTGTCCAGTGCCTAGGTGCTTCCAGGATCGAGGTTGTGGTGTCGGGTCAGGAACCTCGCCCCACAAATCCAGGTCCTAAGTTCGCTGTCGACGGGACGTCCAGGCACTAAGGTAAGAATCGCTGCGAGGCCCTGCCGGGGGCGCCGCCCGACCACGCACAAAGCGCACCTAGGTGCCAGCCCAAAGAGGGTCTAGTGCAGATCTGATTCGCCCACTCGAGACGCTCCAGCCACTGATTGCGGTGCAGGGTGACTCTGACAGCGAGACGTGGATGCGCTGGACCTTTTCCTCCCAAACACCTCAGGCCCAATGTGGGAACCGCTGGGGGGCAACTTCCTGCGGCACACTCACGGGACGCTAAGTGAGCCTCAAGCGCGGCTAAACCACCATTTGCTGACGTTCTCGACTTGCCTTCTTCACCTTCTTCTTTCACCTCTCTTTTTCGCCTCCCGCTCTCGTCTTCAAAAACCACTCGCAGTCACCTCCGAAAACATCATCCCTTTCTAGAGGAACCCGACTTCTGTCCCGAAACACCAAATCCATCTTATTTTGGTGTGGTCGCGTCTTCGTTTCCTTGCTTCCTGTTGACTTAACCCCCCACCTTGCGTTCTTTCTATAGTTCAGGCAACGAGGCAAGACCAAGCAAGGTTGGCATCTCTTAGATTCCATCCAAGTTGTCTTCACTTTTTCTCGCATACGTTTCGCAGACTACCAATACGAGCAACCTTCTCCTGCCAGGGACTATCTACATACAATTCATCGTCTAGCACAATCCACCCGGGTCTCTCGCCACTCAACCGTCTTTCTCCGAAGAAAATTGACGAACTTTGCTTTCCCGACACCACAGCGGTTCATGCTTATCAAAGCCTGCATTCGAGAACCTCGTATAAGGCACGATGGCGTCCACAAGCTCTCGCAGAAAGCCTCGACAGAGACGGCCACCTGCTAATTCTGGTATCACGAATTTGAGTTCCCAGTGCCTCACTACTACTACCATGTCAGAGAAACCCTGTCTTGGCGATTTTTCAAAGATATTTTCTCTTTTAAATCACCATCAGAACCCCGCCTGTCCTACGGATAACGATAACTCTTGTGCTCAGCAACCTGCGCCCAGTCAAAGCATCTCTCCAAGCTCACGCCTCCTGTTCATCCCAGACTCCGTTGTCAGAGACATCATGGGTGGGAAGGTTCCCAAGCTTAAGAGCAAGGCTGGCGGCCAGAACGCTACTAACGCCACTTCTCCCCTACTATCCCCCCCAATGTCTGCAACTTCAAGCGACTCGGACTCAGTCTCGTCTCGTGGGGATTTCGATCCGGTCGACATGGAGCTGGATCTGAACGGGGGTGCTGGTCTCTCAGACGTCACCACGCCGCCCGCCACACCTCCTCCCAAGGCCACCTTTGTGTCTGCTGGCGATCTTCTCTTCGAAAGGCACACCGCACACAGGCTTCCCGTCTCCTTCGAGGAGTCCTTTTCGAACCGCCTTGCGCACCAGTTTGTGGCGCATGATCAACAATTCCAACAAATGTGTGCCAAGCTCGACGGCAAAGTGTCTCACGACAGAGTGTACATCTTTGTCGACGGCTCCAACATCAGCACCAGCTTCTACCAGGACCTCAAGAAGAAGTTTGGAATGCGCCACAATGAGCCGCTCCCCGGTTGCCTTGACATCGTCAAACTGCATGAGATATTGCAGCGAGACAGACATGTCATGGCCTCCCACATCGTTGGCTCCAAGGCTCCCGGCAAGACTGAGGCTCAGTACTTCTTTGATGCCGAGGAGATTGGCTACCAGAAGACCATTCTTCCTCGAATCCCCAAAGATGGCAAGAAGCCGTTCTCGAACACGTCTGATTCTGACGACATATATTCGAGACGCCGTGAGCCCATGCAGGAGCATCAGGTTGATGAAAACCTTCAGCACTTGATGATCAACTGCGCCGTCGACAACATCAACAACAAAGGTGTCATCATCCTCGTCACTGGGGACGGCAACTCGAACGAGTCCGGTACCTCTGACGGCTTCCCCGCTCACGTTGTACGTTGCCTATCGTTGGGTTGGGCTGTTGAAGTGTACTCTTTCAAGTCGGCGTGCTCCGAGGTCTGGACCCAGCCGGAGCTTCTCAACAACAAAGAGTGGGCTGGCCGTGTCTCGGTCCACTATCTGGACAGCTATTTGCACGACTTGTGCAAGCCTTCTTTCGAGAAGCAACTGTCGGAGGTTGCTGCGAAGCATGCCACTCGGGCGTCTTGTCGCCCTACACCCATGACTCTGAAGCGGATGACGCCGATCGCTGAGGATAAGGTCGCCTCCCCTCATTCTCACGCCGCTCACCTTGACAACGACTGGAGGACTCCTTCCCCCAAAAAGGCCAAGTTCACCGGCTCAGTGATGTCTGAGTATCAGTCGGTGACAGCTACCAAGTCGCACACAACGTCCGATTACCAAGCGCTTTTGCAGAGTGCCAGCACCTTTGGCGCCAGCAAGACCACCTTTGCTTCCACAAACGGTTTTGTGGGCGGTTGTTTCGGCTCGTTCCAACAGTACTCAGCCATCTCTGGTGCCAAGGTGTAATCAAACTACAACCCATGGCAACCGTGTGCTCGCCGAAAGGTGCACCGGAATCGCCCTCTTTTGAATAGGTAGCCCATCGACCTCGTGCGTCGATGGGATCTGGGATATGTACTTGGCGGTAGCCTGCTAGACATTGGTATGTCTTGCAGGAATGGGATATGAATTGGGAATGCAAGCGGCGAAGCGGCCCGACTTTGGAACGCTGTCTCTTGCCTTCTCTTCCTCGACTCGAGAATCTACCGGCTGGCGTCGCAAGGATGGGGGCATGGAATAAGGCCCTCGTGCACTTTGACGCTGCCGATGATTGCTTACTTGGATGAGAGGCAAACAGCAACAACTGCTATAACAACAACAAACACATTTTCGTTTTGAGTTCTTACTTGGCTATGCTACTTATTACGGCATATGCATCCATGGACGATCTCAGCTTTCTGGGTTTATGTCTGTGTGTCTTTTCTTTTACTAGCATTTGGGTTTTCTGCGTTCTCTGAGAGATTTTGCGAGTCTGTTGCGTCTCTCTTCCAGGTTCTCTTTCGCTTCTGGTTTATGTTTAGCATGGTTTGGCACGGTTTTCTTCTTTATTTACTTGCCGCATCAGCGTTGTTTGTTTCCTTTCATGGGAAAAATGTTCAAGACAACAAGCCTTGATTACGACTCGGGACGTTTGATATGGTTAGGGAAAAGAGATACCCCCTCTCTGATTTGGTTGCCTTATGGTTTTGTTCTTAGACGGCAGTTAGGCAAAGGGTGTACATACATGGTATCTGGACATGAGAGATGCAACAGCACGGATTGTGGCGTCCCAGGGAATCACATCGAGGGATAGGATAAGCCGAGAAGCATAAAATGCCCGGCAAAAATCCTCGGATTACCAGAGGCTGAACCGAAGCATTCCATGTTTCGGCGCTCAGCTCACAGAAATACAACAATACAAAACCGACTTGGCGGCATCACAGCCTCGGTCACACAAACTCACTGTCCCATCTATCTCATGAGTGAACTCTTGCTTTCCACACCGTCATCACAAATATCCAGCGCCCCGCCACAAGTAGGTACGGTTTCATTCAGCTATATCGTGCACACTCATAGCCACCAAAGCAGGCTATATAAATGTTTGACCTTACATCGCCAGCTTCGAAGCCCACCTCCACCGTCACTCCCATAATTGCCAGCCCTTCCACAAAGATTCAAGAAAATAATAATAATAAAAATATGCCGATTTTCTTTTTTTTAGTCACGCTTCCTCATTCGGGTAGCCCAAATCATGTCGCGCCGCCGTGAGGTGCCTGCAAGCGAAAAAGGGGGGGGAGGAGACGGATGGCGAACGAGCACCTCCACATGCACATCCCGCAGAAAATCTTTACCTGTGAGCAAGAAGAAGGAAACGTAATTTACACCCAGAATGGCGTCTCAACATTGGTATCGAAGATGCGCAGCAGAGAATAGCGTGACAACAAATTGGACATAACCCACATCTCGCGGCTTCCCGGCCTACATAAACTAGCGCCCCGTGTACGTTTAATATTGTGAATCCAACGGCTTAAACTTGCAATGATAACATTCGTAAGGCTGCCAAATATTTCAACCTTTCCTACCGGCGCCGGCTTGAGGCATCTCTTGGGTATACCGAGCCATCACCTAGGAAGAATCGTGAAACGATAGAATTGTGGTATCTTGAAGGGAGGGAAGGCGATCAAAAATCATCAGTTGTTTGGCTGTAAAAGGTTGTAGTTTGAAGGTGTTCGAGCGTTATCCAGGACCGGTGACTCCCTCCTCGCGTATCGAAGTCATACCACCTTTGCTGCCGCCTTCTAGCAGCGGTTTGCTTGGTGGAGGCATAGTATTGTGGCCCTTGGATACACTTGTAGCAGGCGTCGCGTTGC